TCACAGACATCCAGTCATCCTTACCAGGTTTCTGTTCCAAGGTGTCGTACCTCTCTACTCCAATCTTCTTTTTTTCCCCGAACTGCCAAACTGTGGAACACTCTCCCTCTTGTTGTTTTCCCCCCAACTTACAACCTTACACTCTTTAAACACAGAATCAATAAACTGAATGTTCTCCTACTCTCCCCTTTACAGTATGCTATTTTGCACATGGGGATTTCCCCGTTTACTGTAATTCACTTTGTGTAATAAAAAAAACAGGCTGTGTGTACATCTTTGCATACTATGTATTGCAGTTTCGAAAACGCAACATTTGTGTAATAACTTACTGGTGTGTGATGTTTCTAGCGCTTGCACAATACACGAAGATGTACGTACAATCTGGGACGGAATGAGAAAGTTTTTATCTTTACTCTGCCCCCAAACGCCATAGGCGTACTATAGAGCTGTGACAACACAAATGTGGTTACTCCTAAAGTTGCGTGGCAATAGGCACAAAATATGGACTTCACAGACTGATATACACCATTACACGTCAAAAGAGCATACCCCATATCCACAGAACGCCCACCATCTTGCATCTGCTCTTATTTGTTTGAAATGCATCACAATCCTGATCTGGAGTTCCAACTAGTGCAGCTAGTTTTCTGACAAATCACGTGATAAGTAGACATCCAGGGTGGACGCTGTTTTGTCGCTGTTTTACTTTGCATCCTCTTTTTGGTTTAATGACCAGATGCTTCATGCATGTCCGATCGACTGAATTGGTTTCGCTTTCTTTTTTTCATTGAAATCCTTTGACTGTTCGTTCAACTTACAAGCCGAATCGGTTCGCTGCTGTCCAGTCGTTTTGTGACGAATCTCGAACCAGAACACTTGCTTCAAGTGAGCCCCTTTTCTTTCCGCCCCCTCCCTCGATATACACTTCACTTCACACACAGTCCTATTGTTTCATTTGCTGTGTTTGCTGTGAATCATCCCAAATTTCTTTCATGTTTTCTTAAGCTATAATTGCTTTGCGCATTTCTTATTCACAGCTCATCAAAGATCTATCAGAATTATTGAACAATCAACAAAAGGAGAACCTGCTAGAACATTTGACAGTAAGTTTCCAAATTCGTTTTTTATGTTTGTTTGTCTAAAATACTCATTATTCCACCCAAATCTGATGCTCGGTGACATTTGAACCCGTGTGCACTGCAATTGATATCACGTAAACAGACAGGTGGAAGACGACAAAAGCCCACCTTTCCATTTTTCGCATTCGATAAAATTTATATCATTCGTTTCCTTTGACTTTATCGGCGATTAAGTGTTGTCGGTTGCCAGTCCACTTTTTGAATCCCCCTGATTTACATTATACTTGCAGTATTGCGACAAATTCTTTGATCAATTGATTTGTCTAAAAAGTTCTTGCACAACGGGTTTTAAATAAATGTTATTTTTTGCCACATGAGTGTATATTGATACAATCAACTTTTGGACAGAGGGCTGCGGTCAAGCAAAATCTTCTCGGGGATATGTATATAAATGGGCAGTGGTGGCCGAATTTGAACCCAGAGCCTTCTTCGCTTGACTTCGGTCCTCTGCTTGATTATTTTAAATATTTAACTGAAATGCGGACATCTGTCCACGCAAAAGTTTATGCAAATAAGAATGTAAATTATTGATCGATCGGATATCCGTTGTGTGTAGATGAAGAACGATCGCATGTGTAATATGGTATTATTGGTGTAGTCCTTTAGATCTCAGATGATCTTAAATTTTATTGTGTTACCATTTAACTGACTAGATCAAGATGTAACTGGAAACAAAACGCCCCCGTCTAAACTTCGCTTTTTACTTCATACCGTGTTCTCATCCGCCATCTGACGCGGTGTTATCACGAATTTTCCTCGTTTTACTCTGCGCACTCATGTGCTAGCTGAGTGGTTGTAAAACTGACTTACACCATTCCCTATCGCTTAATGGCTTGTGCTGATTGTTTAAGATACACCGGCAGTGGCGCGATTACCAAGTGAATAGTTGCAGAAGCGATCGTGTAAAGTCGTTTACTACTACACGTGTTACGCTAGTCTTATGCATATGTCAATGAAATGGAAACAGTTTTAGTTAAAGTGACACAGAATGTGCAATAAATATTAAAAGACATGAGAAACACCAAGGAACTCTGATTTTCCCTCGCGAATCGGTATGGTAATCGAAAAATACCGTGCAAATCATATGATTAAATTCTTGAGAAACGAACTCGTCATCCAAATCTTTTTACTTTTCCATTCTACCAGTAGTGAAAAAACATTCGCTGCAGTTGGATCGGTCTGGTTACCTTATGAAGATAGCAAATGGTCTGTAGAGGATACATGACAGTTCTTGATCGTTGCATGTAAATTCGGCAATCCAACGGAATGAACGGAACCAAATGTATACACACGGGTGGTATTAGTGGGGTTTGAACCGTAAATATTTTCTACTGTAGCATACCAGTTAGAAAGCGAATGAGACTGCTTAGTCATTCCTATCACTCCTTCATCATTTCATGGCGTTCTCCATGTCTCTCGCTCTCTTATCCATTGACCAAGATTAAGGGATCAGATTCGGCCATCAGTTGAATACTCCGTGAGACAACCGATAGCGGATACAACACACACAGGAGTAAAGTAAATCTAGACGCATATTCCTTTCCAGGTCTTCTTCTTTTGAAAATCAATTTTCCATATGGTTTCTTCGATTATCATTTCAATGGAACCACTCAGACAGTTGAGCAGTTTTAAATCTATCTTCGCTCTCATGTCGATCAGTTATATTCCTCTTAGGGTTACTACAGTCTGTAAAAGTGCTTTGTCAAATGATTTTTATTCGTGAATGGAATTTCGTCTGTTTATTTCTTCACCTCAACTCATTTGGACATCTCACCATCAGTCACGTTGAATTCGTTTTTCATCAACTTACCTTGAGATCTTCACCCACATGATATTTTCACACTTCTCAATGGTATAGCTCAACTTACTGAGCATGAAGTCTAGAGACCAAGTTCACTGAACGATGAGACATCATGATTCAGGGTTAATCGGCAATCTGGCACTTTTTTGATTACTTCTGAACCTGCGATTCCTAACAAATGGCTGAAAGGTATATGATCCGTTTATCACAGGGCTTTCATTAGCAAACTTTGTCAAAACAAGCAAACGTTTGTGCTCAGTGCCTTCGAAATTGAAACTACAAGAGTTATACCATCACAAAGTTGTGGGAACCTTTGAATAGAGAAAAAGCCAATTAAAATGTAACGTATCCTCAGGGTTATTTCTAGTCTACTGGCTGATGATGATCGTCTGACGGGTACGCATACATACACACACACACGCACACATACGTACACGACCGATTTTTTAGAACTTATTTCACACTATAAAATATCGTTCTTTTGATTTCTGACAGTGTCACTGTGCCCCTTTCTTGTGAATGCGTCCTCCCTCCTGCTCCCATTTCTAACAGACCCATATGCGACTGGGTCATTTGGAAAGTCTTCGACTCACCTCCCGTCTGCATTCAACTTGTATGCCATTTGGTGATTGTTACGATTTCGTATCATGGTTACCACCCGAATTGGTCGCCCGTATATTTTCCTATCTCCCATGGGGTAAGTTATCTGTCCCTGAGTCGGTTTGTATCCGTCCATGCAGCCTATCTCTCTCAAACCGTCTCTCTTTCTCTGTGGCTTTGTGTCGACGGGAGTTTGATGTCAAACATTCTTTGAAATCTCGTACTTGTTGTTTTTGCAACTGTGCCTGTAGAACTCTTTATGCATAGATATCCTGCATACAGTGTCAAGCCGTAGACGAGCCAATTTTTACACGTACAGTCTACGGCCAATATTTCCGCGACACATTGCCGCTGATTCTAGGCAGAAAAATGG